CTTTATTGAGGCGTATGTGATATTGGGTTCTCCGATTCATGAATAGAACCTGACGCCTATGATGACACCAAGTGTTATCATTACACTTGTGCTATGGTTGTATATATGAATATGATGATGCATGACTAGAATAATATTGAGGTTAGAGACTCAATACACACGCGCTCGTGCGCGCACACATTCACACATATATGGGTTAAGATCTACTTACACAATGTAAACCTTTTTATTTTTACACAAATTTAGGACAATTAGATGAGTGAAAAACGATAACTAAGATTAACTCGTTTTTTCAGTAAATATCTTCTCATTTCCTACTATTAATCTCAATCATTATTTTCACTAATCCAACGGTCCTAAATCTAAAACTAAAAGAGTTTTACATTGTGTAATATATATATATATATATATATATATATATATATATATATATATATATATATATATATTCATGGCTAGACCCTTAGTTACATAATAGGGGAAACATGAGACTCATACCATTGTGAAAAAGTTAATGAACCTTGAGCATGTAGTGCTTGATTATGAATCATACATATACTTACTACTTATTGTCATATGTGCTAGCATTTTTATGTTTATGAGATTCATAATGTTGTTATAGATTAGCGATATACTACTGATCTTGTAAAGCTCAATATTCAGATGTTTCCATTAGCAAGTTAGTAGCTTGAGTCGTTAGAGGTGCACCGTTGCGGTAGGATTTTCAGCATCTTCTTTCAGAGCATTGTGTTTTTACTTTTATTGGGCATGTGCATTTATAGGACCCTTATTAATGTATTGAGTTTGTAGACTTTGCGATTTATATTATTTTGGTTTAAAACTATGTGTCACGAAGCTCCAAATTTATATAAATTTTTACATCTGTTACGACGATCGTATTGTGTTTAAAATGAAAATCAAAATGATTTGAAACTTGTTGATTGTTTCAGCATCCCAATGTGACATCTTATGCCCATCTAATTATTATGAGTTTAGAGTGCTACAGTAGTCTGTCAATTTGTATTGATACGATTATCAACTATCAAACTTGGTTTGTCAAAGTCACATCTGAGGCCCATGAGTAGGAACTTCGGGTGACTGTGTTGGCAGATCGCAATCATTCTCTGGTGGGTTTGCTCGGGAGGTATAAGACTTGTCAACTAATGCTTAAATCGATTTTAAATCTTGACATATATATTAAAAGGATAAGGATTACTAACACATCTAATATCATCGAAATATCAATCATAATTTAAAACCTCCATCTACCTCCTATAAAACCAAAATTTCCTTTAGATTTGAGAAAAACTTGTTCTGATGACCAAATTTTTAATTCCACTTCTTAAATTTGATTTAAATCATCTCTAATAATAAATTAGAGTGACTTAATCCTTCAACATCATTTAAAACAACAAATCGCAATTTAAAAAAAAAATCAAGTATGAGCACTCCATTTTTTCCAAACAAGCTCTTAAACCCAAATTCATATCAGTTGACCTACTGTCAAACCCTAAATTATTCCCAAAATCTAAACTTTAGCCCAAATTACTAAATTTATCCGATCCGGGAGTCTAAAAACTGACCCAACCCAAAACCAAATATCGTACCCAATCAACCCATCTCTTTCTGACGCACTCAAGAACTCTGCTCATACCCTAATTCTGCCTATGAAATCTTATCCCAAAATGAAATTCATCTCTATCCCTGTAAATCTGGCAGGCACAATAAACACCTTCCAAAAAATCATCTATTTAAGCCAAAATTCACTTTAAAGTTTTGGAAGAACACATACGAAACAGAGAGAAATAACAGTAGACCGAAGAGCAAACCTTCAACCCCATTGCCCCCATTTGAGCCATCAACCACACGACCCCAACTTCAAATAAATTAATAAAATTCTAAATTCAATCACTAAATATTACATTAACCCTATTATTTGGCTAACAAAAGTTTAATTTCCGCTCTATGCTATTATGATCTATGAATCTTCGTGGCCTCTGCTAATACTTGGTGCAAAGCATTGCAGAACTTCTTTTCTTCATGTTCCATTAATATAAACCACAGATTACAGAACAAAGAATCCTCGTCTGAAAAGGTTTCAAGCCACTGACAATAGCAAACACTGGTACAAGAAGGGATGGACCGAGGGCATCGCGATTTGCAGGGCAATTACTTCCCTAAATTTTTAAATTTTCATATAATTAATTTTTTCTTTATATTTTTTATTGATAATCTATTTACACCATAAAATTTTATAAATTTGGATCTCCTAAAATTTTAGAAGCTCATCTCCTAATATAAAATCTTATGTTCGCTCCAAGTACATGTTACACTTTATGCCAACATAGTTGTTTATAAATCGAAATGGAATGAACACACAACAACAACAACCCATTTTAAGTTTGCTAAAATTATGATAAAATTTAGAGTCAAGAGATACTATAATCATGAATACTCCATTAAATAAAATATCCGATCACGTACAACAAATTTGCATGATTCATGCAATCACTCCATGATTAGTAAGCGTATTAGCAAGCTTTGACATGTGAAGCAGTTATGGTCTTATGGTAGTAAATTTGATCCGAACCAACTAACCTTAAAACCATGGAAGCTGCTGTCAAAGAGGCGTCCAATCAGAGTTGAAAAGTATCCTGATATGGGTAAGAAAGAGGGTCGACGATAGATCCAATGATTGTGTCCATATTCGTTAATCAATAGGACTCTATACGTGTTGAATGTTTAAATGAGTAAATAATGGTAACAAACAAAATGCGGGAGAAACCCAAGGTAGAAAGCAGTAAATGAAGAGGCCAATATACATAGAGTAATAGGGAAGGGCCTTGAGTGCAAAGGCACCGTTTGGCCTTGGGAAAGTCGAGTTATACCAGCACAGAAAGGTGAGGAAACCAAGTGTCAAACCAGCTTTGTTTCCAAGTTGGGTAATTGAGGAATCGTCCCATCACTACAAGAAAAAGGAACCCTAACCCCCCATTTTCTGCAAGTGCCTCTCTTCATTGTGTTTATTACGCTAGTACTTGTGCCCATCGACTCACGACAGTGTGCGTGTGTGATATTGACATGTGATTGTAACATCGGTCTCTTTCAGGTTTCCTTGTTTTACATGGCACCCACAAAAGATGGAATGCTTGTGGCAGGACCCTATATCTTCACTATCTTTTTCACACTGTCCGAAACTAGGTTCTCCCATTGCCATTGGCACTAGCTAGTAACTACTGTCTGGCTGTAATGGAAACATTTGGTTCCAAGATGTGTATGGTTTCCATGACTCGATTCTCATTGCCATTATACCATACATGATCGAGACTCAAGGGACTTGCTCCCTTGTCTTCTCTTTGAGCCAACCAGAAACATATAATATGATATGATAGTCTTGAAAGTTTTTTTTTAGTTTCAACAAATTTTATTTCTTTACACAATACATTTTGATTTTTTTTGGTAGGCCAACTTAAATTTTTTATTTTATGATAATGATTTTATAATAAAATAGTAAATGAATATTTTTATTATATTGAAAATAATAATTACATAAATTTATTTATGAATATTTGTAAGTTATAATATATATAAAAGGATGAATAAAGATAAATTTTAAATCGAATAAAATATAGTTTATTTTTAATATATTAATAATTTAACATTAATATATATTTTTCATAATATTTGGATAATAATAGTAGTAATAACTGTTATATTTTATAACTTTTAATCTATAACCTTTTATAGTTCTGGTTTTATAGTTTTAATTTTTTCGAATACATGAATACCTCTTCAAAGAACGTTTATGGTGAATAAATTAGTTATTTATACTAATTATAATTTCTTGTGTAAGTTATAAATTTAGTTTATATTATCTAAATTAATTATTTTAAATCCCTATAGTTTAATTATTTTTTCTTATATGGTTTGTCATAGCTGATAGCACAAACATTGATTCAAAGTCGTGGTTAGCTAACCACGACATAGTAAAGTTGTATTTGATCATTCATGATCTTATATTTTTCTAATATATAATTTTCAGTATAATACTTATATTATTCAGATTTTTTCTTACTTATAAATTGAAAAAAATAAAACGCTTAAATATATTTAATTTTATATCTTCCTATATAGTATATTGACTATAATAACAATCTAATTAAACTTAATCAACATCATAACCTTACATTTTGGGTATATTGATAAATAAAATAAGTATTGATGACTGATGTTATATATATTATTGTGTCAGTGATATAGTAAAAAGATTAAAATAATTGATGTCAATATTTCACTAAAAGAAAATAAATAATATTAATTTAATGGGCTATTATTATTTTGTCATTTTTTGTCAATATACCAAAAATAAAAAATTGAAAAAAAAAGAGAGACATAATGAAAATTTTAAAAACTAAAATAACAATACTATTAAAGTTGGAGGGTACGATATTTATTCCAATAAATTAAAAATATAAAAATGACAAATTAATAAGAATTCATGGGATATTTTTAAGGGTGTAAAATCTACTGCATAGTTTTTCTAGCGCGAGACTATTTATCTTTTTTATTTATTATTATTAATCTATGATAATTATATAATAGTATTTATTTAAAAAAATTCAATCGTTTAATAATAAACATCTCTACAATCGTCATGTTTTAACTTAAAACATTTAAAGATAATAATTATTCGTTTAACCGCTGAATTCCTTGATTCATACTTTTTATTTATTTATGTGTTTAACAATTTTGGGGATTAATCTTATTAAGTTAAAAATATAAAGATGATAAAAATTTCATTTTAAATATTTAATATTATTGTATTTTCAATGACCGAAACGTAAAATCTTAATTAAATTGAATGTCTGAAACTTTCAGAGCAGGTACCATGTACTGTAAACAAGTAAAATGAGTAACGCTAGATTTTCCCTTTGACTCTGGATTCTGCCTCCCATATCTCCCCCCACCTTCTTTTGAAAGAGAAAAACCCACCATCTAGCATTAGCCCTATCCAAAACCCTAATCTTCCCTTTGATAATATGAACCTTGAAGACAAACTTGGAATGGACTTGGTTCCTCAATCCGACCATCTTTGCTATATCCGCTGCAACTTCTGCAACACCGTTCTTGCGGTATATTTTCATTTACAATTACACTTTCCTTCAATGATTTTTATTTTAATTGGAACCAATAGCAGAAGTTAACAGAAAAGCCAAAGGGTTTTTTATAGGTTGGGATCCCATGCAAAAGGTTGCAGGAAACAGTGACAGTGAAATGCGGCCATTGCGGTAACCTCTCCTTTCTCAGCACCAGGCCTCCACTGCAAGGTCAATGCCTCGATCCCCAAACCAGCCTAACTCTCCAGGTGCGTGCATGCGTTTTCCATTTTTAAACCAAAACCATGTTCATTTCTCTGGTCAAAATGTAGAAGACGATATTTGATTTGATTAGTAATGGACTAAAGTTGGTTCATGTCAAGGCGATGCAGAGTTTCTCCGGGGATTTCAGGAAAGGTACTCAGTTTTCACCGTCATCTTCGTCAACGTCGAGCGAGCCATCATCCCTTAAAGCTCCATTTGTTGTAAAACGTATGTATATGAAACCCCTTATTTCTGCATCATGCTTGGGTGAATGGATACTCATCATTTCTTCTTCTTCTTTTTGCAGCCCCCGAGAAGAAACACAGGCTTCCATCTGCTTACAATCGGTTTATGAAGTAATGGAATGCTGTTTCTGCTATGAAACTATATTTTCTTTTTCCCTCTCTCATATGCTTTTTTCTTTACTTTTGAAGGGAGGAAATACAGCGCATTAAAGCAGCAAACCCTGAGATACCACATCGAGAGGCTTTCAGCGCAGCTGCTAAAAATGTAAGAACTAAGAACCCCATAATTTTGTTCAAATATTGATGGTAATTTGGATTCTGATTCTCATGGCTTAAAATGGAAGCAGTGGGCTAGGTACATCCCAAATCCTCCAGCAGAAGCATCTGTTTGTGGAAGCAGCAGCAATGTAAGTAAATCATATATTCCACACACACACACACACACACACATATATATATATATATATATATATATATATATATATATATATATATATTATCTTGTTGAATGTAATCAATAACACACACACATATATACATATATGATGTTAAAAGTATTTGATTCTGGGATTTGCCAAAGGGCCAGGGGCTGATTGAATCAAAAATTGCAGGAACAAAGTGATAATGCGTGAAAATTGCATGCAAGAACAAAGCTGATGAGAGACTGGTGGGTTTGGAGATTTGAGTCAGACTGCTACCAAAATAATTAGGGCGTATTTAACGTAACTTCGTCTTCTTTAATTATCATATAACTAATGAATATTAGTGTGGTTTTACTGTTTTAGTTTTAGGGTATTGATCTTTAAATGAAAAATATGAATCTAACTTCTCTAGCACTATATTTTTATAATTTAATGCAATGTCTAATTGCTTGGCAATTGGAGTATTCCAGAGCTGAAAACAATAATTAACGAAAATGTTAATTAATTTAGGAACATTTATTTACTCATTTTTTACAAAAATACATTGATCAAACCAAATTTATGATTAGCCAAATTTAAGAACTCTATGTTAACGTATAAATGATTTTTAGTATTAAATTATGAACATTAAATTAAAACTTAAAAGCCAATGAGTGTTGGCACAAGTGGTTGAGATTTATGAATTTGAGTTCGTAAGGCCAAGTTCGAATCCTATCACTGTCACTCTTGGTGGGTAATTTATAAATTCCTATGTAAATCCCAATTGTATCTTAGGTATGCCTTAGCCCTAGACTGGGGAGTCATTGAATCACCCTTGAATGCAATTTTCTGTTCTAACTTAATGTATCAAAATTAATCCTTATATTTTATGGGGGAAAATACAACTATAGATGTTGATGTTGATGCATAAAGGATGTTCAATCGATTAATTTGATTTTAATGGAGATATTATTTCATTTACGTTAAAATTTCATTGAGTATGTTTAATGAATTTAGTGTGGTTAAAAAATAACTGGTCTTGATTCTTAACGAATTTGAACTTAAAATGTATATTTAATATATTAAATATTTAATATTTTTAGTTAATTCGATTAATTAATTGATAATTAAACTTTGAAAAATTTCTTAATCATATAATATTCAATTAACCGACCGATTAATCAAACTAAATTTTAATTCAGCGGATTAATTCAATTAACCGGTTCAACATATTGGTATATAACTTTGAAAAAGAACATTGCATGACACTCACTGCCTCAATATAATACCAAAAAATTACAGCATTGAGCAGAAACTAATACTATCGAAGTTGCATCATTTAAGTGGTTATGAAATAACACAGCTCCTCATTTTCCTGCTTTACTTTGACGCTTTGGAGATTTGTTGAAAGTTGAAGCAAATCAACACCGGTTCCGTTTTAAGTCAAAAGACCCGAGCCATTTGTTTGGACTTCAAAGTTAACTGTATGAACAGCATCAGAGACCCCAATGGACCCTTCTTGGCCAACTCCCATAGGGTTCAATCCATATGAATGTAAACCAGTGGCATTCTCAGAGCTATGATCGGCATGGCTCGATAAGTACTGTGATTGAGCTGACAGAAGACAGCACAATCTGAATGTGAAGCCTCATATAACTGATTTTCAACATTGGGGTCATTGAAAGCTTAAGTTGCAGATGAAAATGTTCCACCAATGCTATGCTCTTGAAAGGAAGATTTTGGTACCAACTGGCCACTTGTAGTTTAATCCGCCGACTCGGGTTCAGTTTGTGTTCCTTTCAGGATGGAGGATCGCAGAAATTTGGTACCTGAGAGCCCCACACAGGTGACCAATATGTTAACACTTTAGCAAAATTAAATTCAATAGCCAAAATTGGAATGCATATCTGCACTGATTGAACTTACTTTTTAGCATGGTACATCCAATCAATATGAATATTGCCTCAGAACAGCTTGACTTTATAAATTTATATCTTAGTTTCAATTGTTCATATCTTGATATGTCTGCAGCAACTTACTTGGTTTTCCGGGATGGTTATCGAAATGAATTAGATTCTCCATCAGCTATTTCTACCACTTGTTATCTTTATTCTTATTTTGTCGTATATCACCTTAAATCAATCATTAATCACTTTCAATCTATCTCAATTGATAATATCATCCATCAAGACCATTACTAATTATATCCATAGCCTCTAAAGACAGAAACCTTAGACATAATCTCTATTACAATTTTCATAGTATATTGGCCATCAAACTCAAACCCTAACAACTACACCCCAAAATCTTAAATGCTATGAACTTATTACAAATATCTTCTTTCACTTCCGGAATTATTAAAATTTAGATAAATTGAGAGGGAAAAAAGGGGGAAAGAGAAAAATTAGTTATATAAGAATTTAAGATGATGTTTTAATATATATATATATATATATATATATATATATATATGAAATGATGTTGTTTTAATATTGTTAATTATTTAATGATAGAGTGACTAGAAAATGAATAATTTAAAAACTGAGTAAAAAAATAATTTTTCTAAAAGTTTAATACCAAAACATGAATAAAAAATGTTGACTGGTGATTAATATAATTTACTCATAGAGAAACTAGAAACACACACTATAATACGTTTGTTGTGCCACAAACGCATAATATATGTAGAATATATGTGTTAAATACGATTCAGCTGATTACGTGTAAATTTTATTTTTAATCGCTTAGTAAATATATATTAAAAAGTTATATTTAAGTAATTGATAAAATTAAGAGCATAAAAAGTAATTGATAAAATTAATATTTAATTAATATAAAATTTGATAATAAAAATCTCATATTAATTATATATTATTTTTAAGTGTTTAAGTATAAATTTTTAACATGTACTAATTATATTATCAAAGATAAGACCTATACATATTTATTGTTGTTGTTTAGTTCGTGATAAAATTTATTTATTCTTTTTAACTTTTTCTCATGCTTTTCTTTTCTTCATTTTAATTATTTGACAATTAGTGTATTATTTAAAATATATAAAAGATGCATTCCAATAAATAAGTCTTCCTTTTTTGACATAGGAGTAAATAAATCTTTTTAAAATTCAATTATGTAAGCAAAAGTATAATTAATTTTGTTTTTTAAAATTTAAATGTACATATATAAAAACATTCATTTAAGAGTAATTTAATAAATATGTATATTTAAATTAAGGGTAAAGTATATAAATGGTCATCTGATTATAAGGTGTTGGGTGTTACTTTTTTTAGTCACCAGCTATTAAAAGTTATAAAAGTGTCCCCTGATTATAGACCATTGTTTTGTTGAGTCTCTTGACTATTAAAAGTTATAAAATGGTCACTCGACTATTCATATGTTCTAAACTCATTCTTTTCTTGCTTGAGCTGAACATTAACAAGTTGACTGAGATATGATAAAATCATATTTTAAAGATGTCTACTAATACCGCCGTTGCTTTCGAGCACTGGCTTGCTGATATAATGTTTCAAGTACTGGCTCGACGATATAATGTAAATGGAGAGTCGATCCATAATATACAACTCAAACGGTTCTGGGATCATATTTTATCATATCACAGTCTATAGGTTAACATCCAGTTCAAATGACCATCAATTTTTTTAAAAGAAATGGATGAGTTTGAAATATATAAATAGTCAGGTGATCATTTTATAACTTTTAATAGTCGATAGATTTAATAAAATAGTAATCTATAGTCTGAGGATCATTTGTGTAGTTAACTCTTTAGTTAATTGGATAAGACAAAGACAATATTGGCGAGTTTAAACGTGTCCACCTGCGAAAATGATGAAAAAACGCAAGTGGGCACATTGTGGCCGTGTAAGTGATAACATAACTCCTTGCAACAAAGTTGTCCATTGTGTTGTATAATAAGGAAAGGAGATAAATCTTACTTTAAAGGATGAATCTTAAAATTTTAAAGAGAATAAATTTATATAAAATTTTAAAGAGTGAAAATAGATTATCAATTAAAAAATATTGTTGGTAATATTCAATACCATATAGAGTTTGAAACACTATTGAGAATGGGTATTTAAGGTTTACATTCTTCACTCCCTTGTTGAGTGATAGAGAACAAGATGGACTCTTGTGTACCGCTGTCGTCGTTCGGCTCAGCTTAGGTATTTATAGGCTATTGAGGACTATTTGAATTTGAATATTTCATATGATAACAATTGATTAATTAATTGTCTAAAATTAAATAAATTTAACAGTTATTTTTCTAAATTAAATCAAAACGTTAAGATGTATCTAGACCCAACTTTGTTCAAAGGAGAGACAAACTGTTAATATCAAGAGTTACATGATTTAATTTCAGGAGTTATAACAGCTGAATATTGATGCAATGAACCTGGACTATTTTTTAGTCAGATTCATATGTTTTAGCAGTTATAATAGGGTTTAATTCCATAGTTAAAATAATATATTAATCTGATTTTTTGTTAGATGATTATACACTTATTTCTAGCATATAAATAGATAGCTGAATTTAGCTTCTCAACTCACTCCACAGCTCTCTATTCACTCTCCTAGTGTTTCTAAAGTTGTTCTCTCTACACTTTCTGATCAAAAGTGCAATATCGCCAGCAGTCCACTCCGATTATGGGTGTACGAAATTTGGAGCGACCGTGTTAACATCAAGGGACGATCCTCCTATTGGAACGATTATACACATCGAGGCGAATTAGTTTTTCTAAGGCAATGGTTTTTACCACGACAGAGTTTACGATTTCACCTTTTGAATTACTATTTATTTTTTCAGTCAGTGTTAATGGTATGATTTTGCGGACCATATTTTCAACAAATATAAAAAGTATTATAAAATATACTAATTTGAACTTTTAACAAAGACAATTGTTATTATCCGTTTTTCTTAATGTCCATCCCTAATTATATTGGTGTAACAATAAAGGCAATCTCCATGGACAAGATCACAACTCCATCAAACCTCTTTCCCTTCTCTATGACTATATCTTTCATCAGGGTTTAATTTATTAACGTAAACTCAAATTCCGGCTTATAAATTCATAATAACCTTACTTCATTCTCAAAAGGGGTAAGGGTCACCAAAATGGTAAAACTCAGTTATGGACAGAGGGAAAGGTGATAGGGTGAATGTCCCTCAAAATTTTAATTTTTTATATATTTAAGATATTTTTATAATTTTTATCCTTAAAATTTTATAAATTTATCATCTTTTAAAATATTTTAAATTCATCTCCTAATATATAAACTTAGTGAGAAAATAACCTACTAGAGCCCCACTTAAGTGCTCACATTAAGGAAAGTTATGTAGTCTACTTAGCAATTTCTTGAGAGCCAAAAGCA